ATATTTAGACATACATCTGTTATCATGACGAAGAAGTACTGTAGAGGACACATGGTTACGTTATCATATTTAGACATACATCTGTTATCAAAATGGAGGAGTACTGTAGAGGACACACGTATACGTTATCATATTAAGACATACATCTGTTATCATGATGGAGGAATATTGTAGACAACACACGGTTATGTAATCATATTTAGACCTACATCTGTTATCATGATGGAGAAATACTGTAGAGGACACATGGTGACGTTATCATATTTAGACATACATCTGTTATCATGATGGTGGAGTACTGTAGAGGACACATGGTTGCGTTATCATATTAAGACATAGGTCTGTTATCATGATGGAGGAGCACTGTAGGGGACACACGTATACGTTATCATATTAAGACATACATCTGTTATCATGATGAGGACACACGGTTATGTTATTATATTAAGAATTACATCTGTTATCATGATGAGGACACACGGTTATGTTATCATATTTAGACATACATTTGTTATCATGATGGAGGAGCACTGTAGGGGACACAAGGTTACGTTATCATATTAAGACATACATCTGTTATCATGATGAGGACACACGGTTATGTTATCATATTTAGACATACATTTGTTATCATGATGGAGGAGCACTGTAGGGGACACAAGGTTACGTTGTCATATTAAGACATACATTTTGTACATTTGTAACCCTGATGGAGGAGTACTGTAGAGGACACATGGTTATGTTATCATATTTAAACATACATCTGGTATCATGATGGTGGAGTACTGTAGAGGACACAAGGTTACGTTATCATATTTAGACATACATCTGTTATCATGACGGAGGAATACTGTGGAGGACACATGGTTATGTTATCATATTTAGACATACATATGTAACCCTGATGGAGGAATACTGTAGAGGAAATGGTTGCGTTATCCTATTTAGACATACATCTGTTATCATGATGGAGGAATACTGTACAGGACACACGGTTACGTTATCATATTTAGACATACATCTGTTATCATGATTGAGGAGTACTGTAGAGGACACACTGTTTTGTTAACATATTTAGACATACGTCTGTTATCATGATGGAGGAATACTGTACAGGACACACGGTTACGTTATCATATTCATGCATACATCTGTTATCATGATGGAGGAGTACTGTAGAGGACACATGGTTACGTTATCATATTTAGACATACATATGTTATCATGATTGAGGAGTACTGTAGACGACACATGGTTACGTTATCATATTTAGACATACATTTGTTATCATGATGGGGACACACAGTTACGTTATCATATTTAGACCTACATCTGTTATCATGATGGAGGAGTACTGTAGAGGACACACGGTTATGTAATTATATTTAGACCTACATCTGTTATCATGATGGAGGAGTACTGTAGAGGACACACGGTTATGTAATCATATTTAGACCTACATCTGTTATCATGATGGAGGAGTACTGTAGAGGACACACGGTTATGTAATCATATTTAGACCTACATCTGTTATCATGATGGAGGAGTACTGTAGAGGACACACGGCTACGTTATCATATTTAGACCTACATTTGTTATCATGATGGAGGAGTACTGTAGAGGACACACGGTTATGTAATCATATTTAGACCTACATCTGTTATCATGATGGAGGAGTACTGTAGAGGACACACGGTTATGTAATTATATTTAGACCTACATCTGTTATCATGATGGAGGAGTACTGTAGAGGACACACGGTTATGTAATCATATTTAGACCTACATCTGTTATCATGATGGAGGAGTACTGTAGAGGACACACGGTTATGTAATCATATTTAGACCTACATCTGTTATCATGATGGAGGAGTACTGTAGAGGACACACGGTTATGTAATCATATTTAGACCTACATCTGTTATCATGATGGAGGAGTACTGTAGAGGACACACGGTTATGTAATTATATTCAGACCTACATCTGTTATCATGATGGAGGATTACCGTAGAGAACACACGGCTACGTTATCATATTTAGACCTACATTTGTTATCATGATGGAGGAGTACTGTAGAGGACACACGGTTATGTAATCATATTTAGACCTACATCTGTTATCATGATGGAGGAGTACTGTAGAGGACACACGGTTATGTAATTATATTTAGACCTACGTCTGTTATCATGATGGAGAAGTACTGTAGAGGACACACGGTTATGTAATTATATTTAGACCTACATCTGTTATCATGATGGAGGAGTACTGTAGAGGACACACGGATAGCTTTTTATAAAGAGAATTGTAGGTTGAGAATTGCAGGATAGCTTGACTCTAGAATCGAGAGGCTGACAAATGTCTCCATCTGAAAAAATGAGAAAGAAAATATGATGTGGTCACAGTCTGCCCCAAAATCATTTCCAAATACTACTCCGCAGACCAATATTCCGACATTTTGCTTACATGTATGTGTAAACAATTTTTTGAAATACTTTCTAATCTGAATAAGATTTTACTAGTCTGGGGCATCGGACTAGTGGCTAACGTGCAGACAGTTGTCATCAAGGTAAGTTATATATTTTTGTTACATGGCAGTCATGACAAGTTTCATATTGTTGTAATATTGTGTTATGATATACATTTGTAGTTACATATATATTTTTGTGACATATTTTTTTTACAGAGTAGCTACATATGTTTGTGACATGGTGCACTTACATATTTCTGTGACAGGGTTTTTGAGTTCTGTGACAGCATAAAGTAACATATTTCTGCGGCAGCGTAAAGTTACATATTTCTGTGACGGCGTACAGTTACATAGTTCTGTGACAGCGTAAAGTTACATATTTCTGTGACATTGTAAAGTTACATATTTCTGTGACAGCGTAAAATTACACATTTCTGTGACAGCGTAAAGTTACACATTTCTGTGACAGCGTAAAGTTACATATTTCTGTGACAGTGTTATATATATAAGTTACATATTTCTGTGACAGGGTAAGTTCTGATTCGTTTCTGTATGCTTTAATGTTTTCGCTCGTTATTCTTTATCTTTAAAAATAATGGCTATTCTGCAATTACTTGATAACTTTATCCTGGACATTGTTCTTTTCTGTAATCAGTATATTTTTACAAAATTCTTTGAATTTCGCAGTTATTCATCATATTTTAGCACCCCATTATTCTCTATTTTTATTTTTTTGTCCATTTTGCTCTTTTCTTTATTCCCACTATTCTCTATTCTGTTTACCCCATCCGTGACACCCTCTTATATACTGTCTAAAGGTTGGGTGAACGCGAGGGTGGACGATATAGTAAAAAGAAAATAACTGAAAATTGTCGAGTGTGAACGAAGCTCTTACCAGGAGATAATTTCTTAGCAAACAGAGGATTTGACAAAGATACTATTCTACAAAAAACCATTGCAGATTGACTTTCTGAGATTACATGTGTCACTGAAGTGACGAAGGAAAATGGGACTGTGACTTTCTGTAAATGCATGTCACTGAGGTGAATCGGGCGCATTACATTTGAGCGCATTTGGGGATTAAAATTTGTTACGTTTGCGCGCAGCTTTTGATTACATTTGCGCACATTCATTTTACAGGTAACATAGGTAAGAAATAAAGATAATTCAGAATGATAAGTATGACTACAGTTAATATGAATCTTGAACATATTTGTAAATTTATTATATATTTTTCATATTGAATTCTAAAAAATTATAAAGTGATTATGAGATATCCCGTACAGCTTAACACATGCATGTAACTTAATTGCAATATTTCAGAATAAATAGTATTCTGTTTCCTATTTTACCAAAAAGTGATAGCTTTAGCATTATTTACTGAAGTTAGTTTGAAAAAATCGTCAAGCAACAAACATGGAGTTTCGTTTGTAAGAAACAAGTCGGAGGAAAAATTCATTAGTGTACGATGGATTTACTTCCCATATCGACAGAACACTTAATGATGTACTTGGGTTAGGTTTCGGAATTTGTGTCAGATGTTCGGACTCCTTTGTTTTTTTCCTTCAATACAGGGTAAAATATTTTGCCCCATAACACCCATTTTTCTTTTCATATAAGACTTCAATAGCGCATTAAAGTTCATTTACCAAAATTTAAGCAGATTCTATTTTTTTTTCTTTCGATTTGAGACCCAAATTATACCAATGCAAATATAAGGTAAAAATCCGAGTCAGCCTTTTCCTGCCATATTTTAAAAATCAAATATCTCGAAAAGGACCTCCATAACCTTTCAATATCTTTAGCTTGTTTTGTTCCTTTAAAACTAATGCTCTTCAGACTTATAGTATCATCCTTAAATCAGGGGATATTTCATGGCGATGCACCATAAATAAATGCAAAGGTATTTCAGCAAATTCTCCATTTTCTCCAAGTCTTTGGGCATCACTACCCGGCATCAGCAGAATCCATGCGTACTACAAACAGCCCAGAACCATTCCATGCATGCTCACTACTATGAGCAATTTTATGCAGCACATTCATGTACTAATACTATTTTTGTGTTCACAAGTAGACTTCAAATGTTCAGAACTTCTTCTTCTTCTTCTTCTTCTGGTATACAGTTTACGACATGTAAAATCAGTACTTAAAATCTTTAGATTTGTTATGTTTTTACATTTTTATCTGTATATATTTTTAAACAGTTTTAGATAAAAACATTATTGGACGTTTTTAGACTAAAAATTTATATACGTCGAGAAAAATTATTTTTTTTTTTTTTTTGGCGATCAAACGGGGGGTCCTACGTCCTCTACGCCCCCTCCTTTTCCCCTGAATCAACCACTCAGAAGCGTTCTTAAATGGGCCCAATCAGTGTTTCACATTGATTAGAGTTGTCTTTGTAAATGTTCAGATTCGCCCTTAAATGGGCCCAATCATTGTTTCAAACTGGTCCGATTTGTCTTTCCGCGTTTCTTTAAAACTGGTCCGAGTTTTTCTGGTCCGACTTGTCCCAATTCCGTTATTCAGCGTCTCGTTTTGACAAACTTCCTGTTCTCGGAATTAGATTGCTGTGAGTCTATCGACAAACTACAAACAATTCTTTTTAACCAAGAAGACGTCATGTCAATGGCTTTTAAGGGTAAGTTTTAAATATTTCTGTTATATCTGACTCATGTGAAGAAATGACATACTCATTTTAGCTCATTTAAAAATATTTTTAACATTTTGAACGCATGCAGCAACAGGTCGATGGACATATTTCCGGGTTTCATATCTCTTCTTCTTTGCATTAATGCGAAATGTTCTGAACAAGGAATGAGAAGAAATTTTCAATTGAACATTTAACTGAGTAATTTTCTTTTCTTCAAGGTAAAAGTATATTCTTCAAAACAAAATTTGAAAGTTGTTAAAATTGAACAGTTGAAGAGTTTTTAGACACCAGGGGGCGCTGATGTTTGTCATATTTTTAGCTTCTGCTTCTGCCAGATAATGGCCACAATCAACAAACTGATTATACTGCCATGGTTTGGTGCGCATATAAGACCACCCCCCTCCCCCCAAAATTTTAAAATTTAATTCAGCTTTGTCATCGAGGCTTTAAAGGCCTCGACTGACGGTGCTGATACGACCCAAGGAGGAAGAGCGTTCCAATCCCGGATGGTTCTTGGGAAGAATGAGTGTTTGCGGTAATCACAGGATGCTGATGGTACTTGGAAGGATTTATCATGCATGTTTCGTGTCAGTCTTTTTGGTGGTATTAGACGACCTTCCTTTGACATGGCCACTTTGTTGTTTTCTATTTTGTAGAGCATTGTGAGTCTCGCTTCTTTCCTTCTTTGTTCCAGGGATGTCCATTTGAGATGTTGTAGCATCATGTTAACGCTGGAGTGGTTATGATGTTTGTTAGATACGTAGCGAGCTCCTCTTCTTTGTACCATCTCAAGTCTGTCAGTCTCTATCTTAAGGTATGGATCCCATACTGGACTGGCATATTCTACAATTGGACGTACCAATGTTTTGTAGGCATTCTCCTTCACTGTAGTTGATCCTATATTTAAATTTCTTTTAAGGAAACCAATTGTTCGATTTGCCTTATTACATATGTTATTTACGTGATCATTCCATCTGAGTTCGGACGTAAATGTGCAGCCTAGGTATTTTGCACTGCTGACTGACTCAAGAATATGACCATGTAGGCTGTATGAAGTTGCAATTGTGTTGTTTTTCCTGCTGATGGTGAGTACATTGCATTTGTCAGGGTGGAATGACATTTTCCATTTTGATTCCCATATTCCAAGTTTGTCCAGATCTAGTTGTAAGTCATGCGAATCTTTGTCTGATGATACCGTAAGGTAAGCTATTGTATCATCTGCAAATAGTCGGACTGTAGATTTAATTCCATCGGGCATGTCGTTAATGTAGAACAGGAATAGTGAGGGCCCAAGTACTGAGCCTTGGGGTACTCCTGACTCTACATCAATATGAGATGAGCTTTCTCCATCCACGACTACTGCTTGGGTTCGATTAGACAGAAAGCTAGCGATCCACTTGTTGACATTTCCTTGTATACCATAGTGTTCTAGTTTATGTATCAGGAGACTGTGACTGACCTTATCAAAGGCTTTCGAAAAGTCCATAATGAGTACATCTGTTTGCTTTCCTGCGCTCATGTTGTTAGTGATGTCATCCACAAATTCAATCAACTGGGTTTCGCATGATCTTTTGCTACGAAATCCGTGCTGTAATGGATATAGAATGTTGTGGAGATCTGCATGTTTCATAATATGACTAGTTATTATGTGTTCCATGAGTTTACAGCAGATGCATGTCAGAGATATTGGTCGATAATTCTCTGCCTTGTATCTCTCTCCTTTCTTGAAGACTGGGCTTACGTTGGCGTTCTTCCAGTCAGATGGTACTTTCCCAGTTTTTAGTGATGTTGTAAAGATGATAGTTAGAATTGGGGCTATCTCGATTGCAAGTTCTTTGAGTATTCTTGGTTTTAGATTGTCTGGTCCTGATGCTTTATTTGGATTTATTTTTGATAGAAGTTTCAGTACTCCATTTTCTGTGATGATTAGATCTTCAGCAGAAGGGTATTGACCTGGCATATTACAACGAGATTTGAATTCATCTGGACTATATATTTCCTTTGAAGAGAATGCAGATTGAAACTGTTTATTCAGGATGGTTGCTTGGTCTACAGGATGGGAGTGTAGTACTCCATCACTACGTAGTGGTGCCACGCCGCTGCTATCAGTCTTCATATGTTTAATATATGTCCAGAATCGTTTCATATTGCTGTGTTGTTGGGTTTCTTCTTTAGGTGTTACTATATTTTCGATGTATTTCCAATATGCACGACGTAGTTCTTTCTGTACTTTTTGCTTTACTTCTTTGAATTTTGATGTAATATGAGGATCCGCTGACTTTTTCTTTCTTTTGTATAGTCTATCACGGCGGCGTATCAATTTACGTACATTTGGTGTGAGCCAAGGGAGGCTATCTTTCTATTTTTGCTATCTTGTGCGGGATATGGTTTGTTACACTTTGGTTGAGCTTGGTTTTGAACAATAACCAGAGTTCCTCTGCTGAGCTTCCATTTGAAGCTAGGTTTCTGATCTTTTCATGTGTTTGGATCATTTCCTCTGATGGTTTCCCAGTTTGCCTTTCTGTATAAGGGGATGTTCCGAGGTTTTTGTTTCCTAGATAAGGGCTTGGTGTCTATTTCGCTGAAGACGATGTCGTGGTCTGAAACCCCAGGTATCACTTTGGTGCGTGTGAAGCGTGTTGGATTGTTTGTAATCACTAGGTCCAGCGTGTTAGGGCCTCTTGTTGGTTCCTCCACTAGTTGAACAAGTCCATTGTCGTCAAGAATGTCGCCAAATTTGTAGTGGTTTTTCTGACATGTTGATTCTGGTTTCAGGGTTCTTGTTATCCAGTTCCAGCCTGGGAGATTGAAGTCGCCACCAACTACTATGAAGGCATTTTTTGTAGCATTTACTCTTTCAAGACTTCGCCCAAGTTCTTCAATGCTTTCTTCATTTGATGTTTTGGGGTTATAGTAGGATGCAAGATACAAGTCTTTACTACCAGCTAAGCTGATTTTAGACCAAACAATCTCGCAATTTGTTTGTAACTCGGGTACCGGTGTGCTTAGATGGTCATGATTTATTGCTATTAGCACCCCGCCTCCTTTCATGTTGCGGTCATTTCTGTAGATGTTGTAATTTGGTGGAAAAATCTGGTTATCTTTTACAGAAGAATCTATCCAGGTTTCTGTTCCTAAGACAATATCTGGTTTAGTGCTTTCAACCAAGTTCTTAACTAATCCTTGCTTTGATTTGATGGACTGAAAGTTTACTGTAAGCATCTTGATTGGTACGCTTTTTGGTCTTTTATCCTGCTTCTTTCTGTCTGGTGTTGATGCGTGGATAGGTTTGATACAGTCAGATGGGAGTGGACTCTGGAGAGATGTATCAGATAGAATACTAAATGAATTTGAGGTGGATAATACTATGTCAAAGCACACTGTACTGTAATTAGGACAGTCACAGATAAGGCAGTCCCAAGCTATTGCACTGTCCTCTACTAAGATGTTGTATGTTCGAGAGCTGACTGACTGGCAGGTGGTATGGTACCACTGGTTACAGGTATCACACATGATACCTTTGTCTTCCCATGTAACAGGTTCGTCACAGGTTCCGCATTGAAATAGCTCACCTAGTCTAAAGGGCCATGTGAGCAGGTCTATGTGAGCTTATGCCATCACTTGGCGTCCGTCATCTGTTGTCGTTTGTTGTCGTCGTAAACTATTTCAAGAATCTTCTCCTCTAAAACTACTGGGCAAAATACCTTCAAACTTTAACTGAATGTTCCTTAGCCTGCAGACCCAGCCAAACTTAAATTGTATTAACAGGTCAGGAGGTCCAGTAACAAGTAATTTTTACTGGACCTTCATTGCTGTTACAGGACCTACTTATTATCACCGGGAATTTGCTAGGAGGATCTGGGGGCACCCCCCCCCCCGAAAAATTAGATGCAAAATCCTGCATTCTGAGTGCTTCGACTATGATAAAAAAAAAAGTAACTGAAACTACTATCTCGTACTACACTTTTGCATGTTTAATCACATTAAATAAAACTTCATATTTTAAGACTTTATTTAAATTTATTCCTCTAGTATTTTATTTGAGTTCATGGATTCATCCTGAGCTTCATAGCTGAAATCATTCCGTTTTTGACCAGACACGGCCCCATCAGAAAAACGGAGAAAACTCATGTTATTGCTTACAACATGTGTTTCCGGCGCATGCGTATAATGAACTGGGGAAAAAAGAAATGCCGGAAACTGACGCAACAGACATGACAATCGAGATACAAAATCTTCAAAATATTCAAATTGAAAGGGTTTAGCCAGTAGGGGACAAGCCAGTGAGCTTAAAATCGTCTTATAATATGTTTAAAAAAAAAAAAAGTTGCATTGAAATGCCGATTTTCAGGGAATGCATAAAAATAGTTGACAAAAAAATCTCGCCGCGTGTCAATGGATGCATGATTTCATTGGCTGCTTTTTATATTATTGCATTCTGATTGGGTTACTATTTGTGTTGCCCATATTTCCATAAATATGACTAGGGTATTTCCGCAATCCTAATTGATATAAGGACAATTGTTTTTCATTGATCTCGGGAGGGAAAACAATATTTTGTGTTTGATATTGCAACACATTTTTCTCAATTTTAATACTGCATGCTGCAAAAATGTACAGGACAAGAGGTCCTGTAGTTCACAGGATGGTGGCGGACCTTCATTTTTTTTACAGGTCATGACCTGCGGTCCAATGTTTGGGTTGGTCTGCTTAGGGTATATATCTAGTTTATAAACTGTATCTGAAGTTTTGATCTATCAACAAACATGACCCCTGTTGCTAAAATTAGAACATAGGGGTTAAATGCAGTTTTTCGCTCACCTGGTCCAAAAGGGACAAGTGAGCTTTTCTCATCACTTGGCGTCTGTCTTATCATCCTTAGGGTATCTAGTTTAAAAAATGTATATGATGACCCCACCCATCAACCAAGATGACCACCATGGCTATAAATAGAACATGGGGATAAAATGCAGTTTTTAGCTCACTTG